TTGTTTTTTCCCCAAAAAAAAAAAAAAAAAAAATTTGGGGGGTTTTGGTTTTTTTTTTTTTTTTTTTTGGCTGACTGGGAGGGAGGGAGGGAGCAGAATTGCACACAATTAAAAAAGTATTTTAGTGTTGGCACAATTGGTGCAGAGTGCTCTGGCACCAGCCTGCCATAGCCCCAGCCCTTCCCCAGTTACAGCGAATGCTCTGAGAGCCACTTGTGCGGGGCTCAGGGGCAGGGCAGGGGAGCTGGGTTTGCCCTGTGATCTTGTATCTCCCTATAAATTGTGTCCACGCCTTTGGCCTTTCGTATTCCAGGTAATGCAAGTAGCTGCTAAAGCAAATCAGAGTCTGTGATGTGGGGAAGTGCCCTGCTGGTAGAGGACCCTGTATTAGAACCTGTACCAAGTTGGAGAAAGCGGAGCGGGTTGGAACTCTCTAACTGTGAGCAAGTACTTCAGTACTGAAAAGCAGCAGGGAAAAGCACCCAGCTGTGCAGAGAGGAGGTAAACAGGGAGGTGCCAAAGAGCCGTGCTGGAAAAGGGCACGTCTCAATCCTGTGCTGCCCTTGGACTAATGGAGGGAGAGAACAGCTCCAGCTGCCTGGAAAAACAAACTTTCAAGAGTGGAATATGTGAAGTCTTTCTTTTTTCCCCACCAGAACTCAGGCGCACTTTAGCACAGAGGCTTACTGAAGAGGGCCACATAAAACTTCTAAAAACCGGGATTTAGTACCACATCCCAACTTACCAGGCTGATGCAAATTGTTTATCAATTTCATCCACTCCCTCCTCCCCAGTACACGGTTACTCTCAGTTTAGTTGCTTATCATTCAGTCCCATCACCCAGTAAATCCGCTTCTCCCACCCCCCTGAGGCTCACATTCTGCCTCTGGGAACGTGAGTTTTATGCAGCCAATTTTTTCAGTCTCACAGTTGGGTTTTCTGGCTCTTACTTGTGGAAGCTCCATGTATGTTCACCTTTATAAAACCTGCTCTGGAGTTAGTATCCCATTCAGAATTCTTCACAGGCTGGTCAGTGCCCTCTGACATGGGAGGTGTATCGTGCAGGTGTTAACAGTCATCTATTCTACACTGCACAAGCTGGAAGTGTCTGCGTGCTTTAGAAAAACAGCATGTCAGGAAAATGCCATCTGTTTTGCTTTATTCGGTTTTATTTTGTATTGGAGTAGTAGCATGCAATCACTGACATGTCCACTGCCTACAGAAGATAGACAGACTGCTTCAATTCTCATGTGAAAATACTTTTACATGGGTATTTCACGAGGTCTTGTGACATACTGCCACCACAGCGGGGGCAGATGCCCTTCCTTACGAGCTGGAGGCAAAGCTTCAGTAGTTGGACCATCAGCTGGAGTTTCCTCTTCTAACTGCTTGATCTAGAAGACAAGACATGAAGTGGCCTTAGTGCACATCAGCACATCGCCATGATGTGGGATTCAGCGCCCAAGCGGTAAGCGAAACCCGCCCCATTTCGCAAGGGAGGAACCAGCAGTAACACCTTCCGCTGACAGACGGGTTCTGTGTTTCTCAGTGTTCACTTAAACTCAGTAATTACTGCAGGCTCATATTACCTAATTAAGAAGCAATTTTGAGGATTAAAAAGTGATTTACATGAGGAATTTTACTTACAAGGTCATTATTTCCACATAATCCATGTCTACCACTGCTCCATTAAGCAGACTGCATTCTCTTGCTGCTTTGAAAGCTGCCAGAGAACTACAAGTCCTCAAGACTTTCCACTGCAGCCGGCAGGAGCCCTCTGTTTCTGCCACCAACAGCCCTTTGGATGTTCTCAATACATGTTTCTCGAAGCAGCGTAGGTGCTGCTGCCACTGTGTTACTTGTGGTGAGTGCCACACTGCGTACAATCCACCTACTTCTATACAACTGAACTGAAGAACTGTTCTAAGAACATCAATTTTTTTCCAACTTCATCTCAGTTTAGGTTGGCCAGAAATTATTCTCAATTCCCAACTGCTGAACACAGCGGTAAGGCACCTTCAAAGGTGCAGCCAGAAAGCTCCACAGCAGCACAAGAGGAATTCTCTGGGCATTAATCTCTTCTCACCCCCCTTAAGAATTTCCCTTGGCAAAGCTGCTACAACAGCCCTGCACTCCCTGGAACACAGCAGCAGGTTCAGCTGTAACTTACAATGCCTTCCACCGCTTTTAAGAAGTCTGAGATCTCTGTGTAGGCATTTCAGGTCGAGGCAGTGCTTCACACTGACAACAGCGCTAATAAAACAGGGTCTAAGTGTGACTGCAGCAGGCAGTCGGGTATTTTCCAGGAACACACCTACATGTCACACTAAATATCTGCATGTGGAAGAGGCTTTACTCTGCAGTGAGCAAGCACCGACCTCTTTATCCCAGCTCTCCCGCTGCAGCTTCTTCCACTGCTCTCGTTTGGCAAAGTAATCAGGATACATGGCCTTCTCAGAGGGGTGCCAGTAGTCCAGGCACCATTCAGGAATCTGTTAAATAAAGTTTCACATACATTATTTTTACTCATTAAACCATATGTAGTAGACACACACAAAAGAACTAAACACAATCACTCGAAGCCACTATTAAAATGGGTCAATAACCCTGGAAATAAAGTGTTACAGGGAAACAGCACCCAAGAGCTGCCTGACTTGTCAGTCTCAGGGCACTGCGTGGCTGAGGTCTGTCCTTTTCACCTTGGCTTCACGCGTTATCCTAAGTCACAGGAAGACACCATAGTGACTTGCTTCAATCGCAGCACCCCAAAGACAAGTCCCAGGTCATCTCAGTTTACTCTAAAGTTCCCAAAATAATGCTGGAAGGGAAGAGCTCATTTTTTCTTTTCCTTCTCCCAAAGGCAGCAGGTCAGAGAGATCCTTTTCTCCAACTACAAATCCATTTTCTCTGACAGAGACAGAACATTACAGCTCATTTCCACTTGTCTATAACTACTTAAAACATTAGTACCCTTTAAGATCTTGATGATGATGTGACCTCTAAGATGTCCCATCAAGGAAAAAAAAGCAAAATTTAAAATTCTGCAGCAGCCTATCACTGAATGTTAACATTTTAAAGAAAGGAACATTGATTAAAAAACCAAAACAACCCCCCCAAAAAACCCCAATTCTTAAAAAAGGAAACTAAGAAGTTGCTCCAATACCATCATTCATCCAGTGCCATTTAACTTCCAGTTCCCTGCTGTGATTCTCATCACTGAGTAAACTTTTGACTCAAAAGAAACAGCAGAAAATAATTACTAAAAAAAAAATCCACACACACCAAAGAACAAGTGAAACCATCAAACAGGCTGAGACCCCAAATCCCATCTGCAGCAGCACCCACAATGGACAGTCACCAGTGTATCAACCGGCCAAATCCTCGTGGCAGCCATTTTGTGAAAGGACGGTTTTAACGTATCAAACAAGACAAAAAGAGAATATAAACCAGTTTATGTTTCGACATGAAGACTAATCCTGACCATTTACTGCCCAACTGGCCTTTTCTTCTGTCTGGATTCTCTCTCACTATTATCTCTACCACTGCTAAGGCCTACGACCTCGGCATCAGTTTAAATCCTCCTCTTCCCTTTTCACTCACACGTTCTTTTTTCTGCCTCTGATAAATCTACTTCAGACTCTTCCCTCCCTCCGCATGGCTTCTTGTGCGCAAAGATCTGATCAGATCTGGTCTTGTGTGTGCGCTTTCTTCACATTCTGGAGAAAACTGGTGCATGCACTCTCCAGATTAGTATTAACTCCCCATAACGCATTAGCAGCCAATGCCAAGAAAGGGAAATCCTCTGTTTTTCTATGAAACCTGTTTCTTTACTCACAAACAGAACAATCTAAGGACAAAAAAAAGCCTCTGGAAGTGTTAGATTCTAAAAATATAGCTTATATTTTTAGGCATACCATCTATCACACGGTGATGCACAAGTATGTATCTGGCACTACAGCAAATGAAGGGAAATGATAATTTGCACCATTACTCAAAATGCTGGAAGAACGACGGGACTAAGTGAAGAGAGATCCCCCAACAGCCAAACCAACACCTGACAGGACCAGAGAGAAACCAAAGCTGTGACAAGATGGCACCACGAGGGGTAGCACAGCTTCCTCCACCTTGTTTACTCTCACAGCTCAGCTCCAACCCCTTTGCTGTGCCTGCCTGACCCATCACAGAGCAACTTCCATTTGGCAAAAGAACAGATGATTATCCCAGCAAAAAGAAGCAAGCTGTCTTCAGACAGACCAGCAAATTCCATTTTCAAAGGTCAGACAAGCAGGACAGCTTCTCCCATGCAAACAGCAAGACGTTCAGGAGCAGCAAACTATGAGAGAAATGATACTGCTGAGTCAACCTGCAGCCCTATGAAAAGCTACTTAAAACACTCCCTTTCCATTTACGGAAAAGAGTAAGGTAACCACATTAACAGACAGTGTAACAGGCCACCTTACCTTGTAGCATTCATATCTCTCATAGGAAGTGCCCCCAGGGGAGTCAGGGAAGATGTACGGTTGAGGATGCTGGTTTGTCCAGAACTCCTCCTCGCCCGCCTTCAGCAGCTCCGTGGCTTTCACCATATCCTTCACATCCTTGTTCTTATCAAACCGCTCCCTCAGGAGACAGGCAAAGTAGCGGTACTTGTCTCTACAGACAGAGGTTGAGCACAGTGACGTACACTGGAGAAATAAACCTAATCACATAGAGAAGCAAAGCTCGGCAACATCACCAGGCACCCCTGCGCCAAGCCAGGGTCTGGCCGGGGGCCTCTGAGGAGCTCCTGTTCCCACACTGCCCTCTTCCGCGGCAGGCACAGCCAAGCGACCCTAGAGGCTCCTTCCTCACCCCCTCAGCTATGCCTGGGCGGGGGGAAGGAAAGGGGACAAAGCCCCAGCCAGCCCAGCGGCCCGTCTCAGCGGGGAAGGCGGGCAGAGCAGCGCAGGCCAGGCCAGGCCAGGCCAGGCCAGGCC